ATATTTCAGAGTAGAGCAGGACACTGAAATAAGTATCTTTTTAAAAAAGGTTTTAGTTTATTACTTTCATGGATAAGCAGTTTTAGCATTTTCTTCCATGAGGCAGCTGGTCTCTTTACTGAGGACAAGAGTCCTGGAGCTTCTGGTGCCAAGCTACAAGAACCTCTTTGTTCTCCTCTGTCCATGACACCAAAGGGCCATGATTGGCTCCAGCCAGCTCGCATTGATAGTCTATCAAAAATATCAGAAGACAAATTATCCTCAACTGACCTGCAGATGTGGATAGGAGACTCCCTACAACAATAAAGATAAATATCTCATCTGTCATTTAAGGGGAAATGGCATATGGTTCTTCAAGTGTGATGATTCAGACATAATAATCTCCCAGCGATTAGGAAGACAGAGGCAAATAAATTGGGGGCAAAGGGGAAAGAAAGAAAATTGAAAGCAGATAAACTCTCTATTACCTTCCATTTTACCCCCAAATCTGTCTTGATCCATGTCTAAGAAAAGTAAAGGAACCAATCACTATTTGTTACTAGCAAGGCAGCACAGGATTGGCAAGTGTGTCTGCACACATGTACACTCCATTTTAAGCAAAGGTGGCAAGAAGCCATTAAAGTGTCAGTTTGTTCCGTATTTCACTTTATTCTTCTGGCTTAGGTCAGGTACATCCTTAATGCACAGTGGGACAAACCACGGAGTAGCCATGGATCTCCTGCAATGCTGGAGTGGGCTGGCTCAGGCACAGTGGCTGCCTGCACCTGCATACTTGCTCTGTCATAAAGTGTGGGACTGGGATTCAGCATGGAAGGGAGCATAGGCCTCCCCACACAGTTGTTGTCCAGGATTTCATTATCATTTTCCAGCCCAAAAAGCATTGAATTTTGTTGTTTGGGGTTTTTTCTTTGACCTACACCCATCTTCGGTCAAGAGCAAGCTCATCCAGTCTGTATTGTGACAGGGAAGGTGAGCTGCCTTGGCTTTCACAGTACCAGCTGTGTGGGGTTATATAGAACAAGCTCCAAATATGAGGTTTCACTATTTAAAAATCATAAAAATTGGGTGGTAGCTATTCCTCTGATAGAGGTAGCTGCAGTAAGTTTGTGGGGAGTAACTGCAGGACTCTGTAGTTACTCACTTCATTAAGTCTTAATTGTAACGATTGCAAGGTGCAACCCCAGCACCATAATCAGATCCCGAGGTGACAGAGGCACAGATAATTGTAATGAGCCTTCCTCTGAAATGAAAGGCCTGCAGTTTTCTCCCCAGATGCTAATGGCACAAAGCAGAGTCAGAAAATGCTGTCAGCAGGAACCAGGAGAGGCTGGGGATTCAAGGAGACCCCTGGGCTTCAGAGTTTGCAAACAAATAGTAGGCAGATGCCATTAACCAGGGTTGCTGATTGAAATTCTGTTTCCTCTTTCTATTTCTAGCTTGCTGTCAGAAGCATCCCAAGTAAACCTGGCCTCATCAGTATTTTGCTTTCCATAAAACTCTGGCAAAACCTACTTCTGTACAGGCAAGATCAGAAAGAAAGAAAGGGAAGACAGTGATTGATCAATGTGCAGAGAGCAGCGCTGCTCCCTCCTTCCATGTGCCAGCCCAGGCTCTATCCACACTGACCCCACCAGCACTGGGTGGTGAGTACTTTCTTGACCCATTGGCCTTTCATTCATGGGACCAAAATGGAGGATTAACTGTCAGGGCACACCTACAGCTGAATGATGAGTCAGTCCCAAGGGGCTGCTGAGTCAGAACTCAAACAGCCACTGAAGTTGGAAAACGAGCATTCTTGTACAACCCAGTGCTAATGGGTTGTACAGGAAATAGAAATAGCAGGAAATAGAAATGAACTTTGGAATAGAAGTCAACAATTGCAAATGAATAAAGATGGGAACAAGGCTACCAGAAGCCCTTCATTCTGGTGATGTCATGGTTCCCAAATGCCCTTCAGAAATGCAAATTGCCTACAATGTAATAAAAAGGGCATTTTCTAGAGTGTGCAGAGCTTGCATAGTTTAATTAAGCATAAACTAGGGTGACTCTTGAAAGGAAAATGATGTGGATTGCATTCTCTGAGTGACCTTGGAAAGGCACTTATATACTTTCTCTACACAGCAATTAAGTAAACTCACACTTCATACGCTGTCACTCCTATTCCTTTCCTTTATTTAGAAAGATATTTTTTGTTCTCTCTGATTCCCTGATCTCGCATTGATTTATCTCTGTGCTTAGAAAATGTGATTTGTTTCCCTCAAGGTAACTAAACATTTGTCTACAGCCTCACCACCTCTGGTTTTCTAATCTCTACTTCAATATTACTTATATTAAACTTCCGGTGCCTGCTTTCCTTGCTTTCCACCAAATTCCACCTAGACTACCTCACTGACATAGCAAAACTGGAAAAAGGAGATGCCTATAGAAATTTCTCATCCAATCTTCCCAAAACCAACCTAGCAGCCTTCTGTGATGGAGTGATTGCATCGATGGACAAGGAAAGGGCTACAAATGTCATCTGTCTGGACTTCTGTAAAGCCTTTGATGTGGTCCCCCACACCATCCTTCTCTAAATTAGAGAGAGACGGATTCGATGAGTGGATTTTTTGGTGGATGAGGAATTGGTTCGATGATCACATCCAGAGGTAGTGGTCAATGACTCAACGTCTGGATGAAGATCAGTGACAAATGGTGTCCCCCAGGAATCTATATTTGGACCAGTGTTATTTAATATCTTCACCAATGACATAGACAAAGCTATCGACTGCACCCTCAGCAAATTTGCTGATGACATCAAGGTGAGTTGTGCACTTGACACACCTGAAGGATGGGATGTCATCTGTAGGGACCTGAACAAGCTCAAGAAGTGGGCCCATGGCAATCCCATGGGGTTTCAAGACCAAGTGCAAGGTGCTGCACCTGGGTCATGGCAACCCCCAGAATCAGTACAGGCTGTGGGATGAAGAGATTGAGAGCAGTCTTGCAGAGAAAGACTTGGGGACACTGGAGGATAAAAAGCTGGACACGAGCCAACAGTGTGTGCTTGCAACCCAATTGTATTCTTGGCTGTGTCAAAAGAAATGTTGGGGTTGGGGAAGCTGATACTCTGCTCTGGTGAGACCCCATCAGCTCTGTGGTCCCCAGCACAGGAAGGACACTGACCTGTTGGAGTGAGTCCAAAGGAGGGCCACAAAAATGATCAAAGGGCTAGAGCACCTTTCCTATGAAGACAGTGAGAGAGTTGGGGTTGTTCAGTCTGGAGAAGAGAAGGCTCCAGGGAGACCTCATTGTGTCCTTTCAGTACTTCGAGGGGGCCTATAAAAAAGATGGGGACATCTTAGTAGGGCCTGTAGCAACAGGACAAGGGGTAATGGAGGTTAAATTCAGAGTAGATGGAAGAAATTTTTTAAGAGAAGGGTGGTGAAACACCAGACCAGGTTGCCCAGAGGGGTGGTGGATGTCCCATCCCTGGAAACATTCAAGGTCAGGTTGAACAGGGCTCTGAGCAACTTGACGTAGTTGAAGATGTCCCTTCTCATGGTAGGGGTGTTGGACACCTCGTCACACAGCTAGGGCAAGAATGGTAATGGCTTCTGCGCAAATTAGTACTGGGAGATAGATTAGGGTTTTGCAGCTGTCATTTGAAATGCTTTCACAGTATCAGTTTCTCATTTTGTGGAGGATTTAATATCATCTAGCCGGCTGGTTTTTGTCAGATTTTGAAGATCAGTTTTGAAGCCCATTAGATCATCAAGGCTGCAGTTTCTCAAAAAGGAAGCTGACTGTATGGAGAGAAAGAGTTGTCAAGAGGCTGATTCCAGATACTAGGAAGAAAAAACAAAAAACCCCAACCACTGTTAGCAGCTTAACTCCCTTTCTTCTGGGTTAGGGTATGAAAAAGAAGTCTCAGTAATTCCTGGCTATAAGTATTGCTGCCAGGAAGGATGGTGATATCAGCTCATCTCTGTAGGCCAGCAGTGAATGGGACTTAAGAGGGGGCAAGCAGAATTCTTAGAGCTGTTTCTTACACATATGCCTTTAGCCTGACCTTTCAAATAGATCCTGCTCTCTCTTCCCCTTGAAAATTTGCAGAGGAGTGACCATCCCCACATTGCTCTTTGGAAATGCTTTTCTCTTGGTATCTTGCTATGACTTTCAAGGAGTAATAGAAACTTTCCAAGGAAGATTTGAAGAATGTGGTAACGGGTGGAAAAAAATTGGTCACTTAGCAAGGGCAAAGAAACCAGGGGATGGTAGATGAGGAAATGGTGCTGATTTGCAACTGATGTTTGAGCTATGACGGAGTTTCAGTGAACCACACCACAAGGGCTGCTGACCCATAAAAAGGTGAAATACACGAAAGGAAAGCAATGATCCCAGCAACTGCATCCCATTATGGTATGTCAGACATGTCTTTGATTGCACAAACCTATAATTAGTTATAGAGAATTGCTGAAGAACTAGGAGGAAACCAAAGAATTATTCCCTGCACCAGTGACTAGCAGGATCAGTAGATAACACTTAAGTATTGCTTTAAATAAAATGTATTCACATTTGATAGATTTATTTTTTTCAATTTTAGAGTAAATGTCAATGATTCAGTAAAAATTTAACAAATCTTAAGAGACCCCAGAGCAAAGATCAGAAAGTCTCAGGATTAATTTTAGGACTTGGTTTCTATTCATTCAGTATGTAAGAAACCCACTTAAGTATCTTAAAAATTTTTAAAAGTTATTTTGAAAATTAAGATCTCGGTTTTGTGGTAAGAAAGGAAGGAACCGAGCTTATTATGAACCCAGAATCTCAGCAATAGCCGCATTACATACTTGCTAACACTAGATGGGGTGTAAGGAAAGAGTGAAGGGGAAAGTTGGTGAACAGCAAAACCTTTGAGGTCTGAACTACTTCAGGCAGAGAAGCAGAAGCTTGCACCTTGTCCATTCCTCTGGCACTGTGGATCTTCACAACGTGGATATTTTAACACGCATGACACGCCAAAATTAGTCTCATTAACTACATTTTATTCATATACTGAAAGAGTACATACATGTGTCAGCAGCATAGATTGCACCAGCTCCTCTTTACTAAAAAAAGCTCAATGTATATACAGCCTTAAAATGCTCCTGCTGTAGCTAGCACATATTAAATTGATGCTTATATAAACTACTGTTCTTTACATAGATTTATGTATTTTAGAATATATTAAAAATTGTCAGTTGGCATGTTCTGTTTTCTTTTCTCACTGTCTTGATGGTCTAACAGTTGAAATGAATTATGGATATGAATATTTTATTTACTATTCAAACCAATTTCTATTACAGAATATAGGTCATAGAGACAATCCTGCTGTTGCATTTGGAAAGGCAGAAAGTATTTTTGACGATTAGTGATTTCTGTTATTATGGCTGCATCCTGCAGCTTTTCCTTGGGAGCAGAAAGAGCAGACCAAGGCTCTTTTTGAGATCCTGCCTTTGTTTAATCCTGTGAAAAGTACTGTAACCTTTTCTTTATCAACTGGTCCTTTTTGTCCTCCCTCTTAGCTTCTTTGACCTCCTGTGTATGAACTCAGCAGAGCAGGCAGGCCAGTGCCTGACTCCAGGCTCTTCCTTGGGCCGTGAGGGATGCTGAGCTGGGCTTTCTGACCAACCAACAGAGCTACTCAGCAGAAGCGGCAGCCTGCCAGCAGAATTTATTTCCCTCACTCTCTTCTCCTAGTCCCATGTGAATGAGCTAGACTCCTGTGGATCACTTTATCCTCTTTATTAAGCCAGTCTCTGCAGAGACCATTTTAATTTAATTCAACTTGATAGCCAAGTCTCAAAATCCCCTTGGCTCTTGAAAGAGTACAATCTACTGGTGTTCAATACACAGGCCCTTTTCCACCATCCTCTTGCTACCCTTCAAGTTAAAAATGCCAGGATCCAATTTCTCTAAACCAGCCTTCCACTCTGATGCCCTTTGCTGAGTGACTTGTACTCATAGTGAGCCTTAAAAGCAAATGCTGGTGCACTGAGAAATGCCCCCCTTGTCAGAGTATCTAACTCTGTTTAAACTTGCACGCTCAATAAAAAAGCAACACGAAATGCTTTCCCACAACGCAGGTTAAATAAACACTGCTTGCCAGCCATATCCACTGGTAACATGGTAAGAAGTTGCATTCCCTGGCAGGGAATCTCTGTTTTGTTTCTTAATCCTAGGAGAAGTATTGCTAAAACATACTGCAAATGGTTTCTTTGCATCTACTGGTCTGATTGAACCACTGGGACCGACACTGCATTGGGATTTGGAGGGCAGCGCTTGCTACTTCAGAGGGCTGGATGGGCTAGGATGCCAGTGTAGTTAAAAACAAAACCAGGTTGAGCACCTCTGTAGGAAAAAAAAATAGCAGGTAATTTAGGAACAGAATGAGTTATGTCTCTGACAGGCCACTGATAACTTTATTTCATAGCAGAGAGGCAAAAGTTGGGGAGGACTGTAATATGCCAGGTCACTTGTAGGTTATGACTCCTCACAGGAGCCCTTATACATAATCCCCTTCTGCAGCATACTTCATGCCTTGGATATCAGAAAGCCTATGAGAACATCTCTATTTGTGATAATAGGCCATATTTCACATGTCCAGGGGGAAAATGTGAAGCTCATTCAGCAGAGGGACAGTGAAATAGTCCTGAGTATGAAGGAATAAAAGACAGTTTCTTTTGCTCTACCTGCTTTATGCAAAGCCTCCCTATAATCCAAGGCAGCAGCGCAGCAGCAAGACACAATGAAACAACCCAGAATGCTAAGTGGTATGAAAACTTCAAGAAACATATTTGTAATTGAACGAACAAGAACTCCAATACACAATTTTGTTGGACCAGGATGGTGAAGGGTCCTTCCAGGACAACAGCTCCTTCTGTTATCCTGAGAGAGACTCTGTGTGCCAGGACTGCCCTACTTAGGATGACTGAATGCCTTGGTCTGCAACCACCCAAACCACTAAAGAAGTGCAGACTGTCCACATCCTCCTGTTTAACCTTCAAGGAATTGGCAATCTGGCAAAAAGCTGGACCCACCAAGTGGAAATCCTTCTCGGAGGCAGGGTCAGCTCTAGCCTGAAACAGCTCCAACTGCCTTGGTTTCAAATGACTTGGTAATACTGAAGTCACAGTTAGAGTTAAGACAGAAGGAGGATTCCCCAAATACAGCTTGTGATGACCCAAATCTGAACTTATTGCTTGTGAACTGTGCTGGGGGGAGAACACTAGAGAATAAATCATCTCATTGTGCACAGATGAGCTACAACATGGAGTGCATAAATGTAGACGTGTTTCAGGCTAAGCTTAAGGTTTGCCTTCTGGAATGAGAGGTCACAACAGAATAACATGTTAAAACACCCAGAATCTATTAGGATCATCAGGAAAAGCATAAATTAGGGCAGAATGAATTAGGATGGATTTCTGGAATACCTATTAAAACAGAGAGTGGATTCGTTCATGGCATCACGCAGACCTCTGGCATTTTCTGTCTGTATTAACTGGTTAAGACCTTGTAGTCTGAAAGTGACACACTCTTCTTTTCCTGGCTACCCAGTTACTGTGGGCTGGGCTACCTGTTATGCACATTTTAATGCTGAAAAAGTGAATGGAAGAAAAATGGCAATTGATTTTGACTTACTCTCTAGTCTACAATGAATTAAAACAATGCCTCAGATTTACTACAAACCACAAAGGCAGACCTCAAGAAACCAAAATAAAATGTATTCTGGAATGTTCCTGTTTGTTTTTACAATTCATCAATAACCATGAAGAACTGGCTCTAGTATTAAAATCATTACTAACATGTTAGTTTAGGAGTCAAGATAATTTCTATGCTTTGTATGGCTTACTCTTCACTTTCTTTTAGGAGATGTTCAATTCAAGGTAGTTTTCTGAACAAAATTTAGATCATTCTCTTAGATGTCAATATTAATCCTGCACTGCACTGCTCTTTGAATGAGTGCAGATTGCAAAATGTCTTGGAAAAAGGATAAAATGGACATGTCATGCAGTAACCAAGTAAAGGCAGTCCCTGATTAATATGCAAGTTTGAAAAGTTCAGAAAATGTCATCATAGTCCACAGGTGCACCCTGATTTTGGAAAGGTCTCTTTTTGTTTATTTTGTGTATAAATGTCATTCTACATAAATTTCACTCCAGCAGCTTTTCATGAACTCAAGTCAATGGTGATATGCTCAAATATTTGAGTGTTTCCTTTAAAACTAGAGGCAAAGAAAAAATCTCTTCGATCTGTTGACACAGCTGTGAAAGATCGTGGTGCTTGCACATAGATTTCTTTAAATAATCTGAATATCTTCTTTTCACCATCCCACTGGTAAATCTGGGAGAAGGTATAGTCACTTCCCAAGGCTAGGTAGTAATTGTTCCTGAAGGAGAAAGGCTGCAGTGTCATGGCTCCTCGGGATGGAAGAGCCTGTATCTCCACAAACTGTTTGCTATTCCATTTCATAACTCTGGAGTCACCAATGAATCTCGTGAGTGTGATGTACAGGTTATCTTGCATCCTGAAACTCTTCACAGCCAGGACATCTTCCATGTTGGGGATTTCACTGTGTGGGACAAACTTTTTGGAGACTTTGTTCCACTGGAGTATAATGGGAACCTGGGCACGGCTTGAGAGAATTAAATGTGATTTCCCATCTATATCAAGAAACTCAGCATCGGTGTCCCTGAACCACTCATGAAGGGACTGATACGAATAAAATCCTTTGTTATTCCACTTGTACACTGTTGACAAACCTGCTTTAGAGCTATCTGCTATGACAAAAAACATTTCACTGTCTATCTCAAAAAGCTCTATATCATTTGGCTTGGAAATTCGAGATACTTCAATATCCTGGAATTTGACAAACTTTGTCCAGCTTTCATCATACTTGTAAATGTGTGAGCCACCAAAGAGCTGTGCCACCACCACAAAGACTTGGTCACCAACAAGAATGGCTTTACATCCCACTATAGACTGACCTATTGACCAAAGGAAAAAAAAAGGCATGTATATTATCACAGTACAAAGCACCCTTTAAGCCCCAGAGAGATTATCAAATCACCCCTCCCCTTTTTTAAACTTTCACCATCTCATAATTTGGTCTTCTGTTACATGCCATCACAGTTTCTTTTTGTGCATTTTTCTTCCCAATAACTGGAGAGATGACTTCAAATGTCACACCCTGCAAGGTATGCACGTATTATATATCGTAAAATGCTAATTCCTTTTTATCCACAATACTTTTTACTTCTCTGTTCGTTCAAACACACAGCCCCTAATATCCAAAATAACTATTAAAGATAAATTTTATTATTTCAAAATAACAAAGAGTTATTGTCTTGCTGCCGATCAGAAATCCAAAGTTCTCTTATTCTTGGAAAGTCTGTCTTTCCAGCTTAACTAGAAGAATGAAATATCGCATATTTTTCTTGCTCCAGAAGAGTTGGAGTCAGCTTTTTTCCTACTGTAAATAGAAATATTGATACATCTTGTGGGTATATCATCTGACAGCAGGATGAAAAAGATAAATCTAACTCTGTTGTTTCTGTTAGGTATTCCTGAGATTATGTTAAACTAGAAATATTTAGGAATATTGCAGTTGCCAGATTAGATCAGATCAGGTTATGGTCTGTTTTGAGAATGTCAAGTTACACTATACAGGAATCACATCAAAAAAAGTAACCACCAGACTATTAAGACAGATTTTGTTGGAAGAAGAGAGGAATTCCTCTCTGAAGCACACAGTTTAAGTAGAACTGTAGCTGCACAAGTTCCTGATGTTTGCCTGGTCAATCACAACAGGAGACTTGTCCTGATTCCTCTGCTGTGCCCCTACCTATGGCTTTCACAGCTGGCCTGGAATGACCAGCCACCCACTCACTGTGGGAGCGCTGTGAGTCCCTTCATCTCAAATACCACAAGGTATCTGTGGTGCAGGCATGAATGCTTGAGCTGATCATCCAGGCTCCTTCTGGTCTACCTTAGTCAAAATTAATTCTAGAAGAGCTTTCAGCTGTCTCCTGTCTCCTCTTGCAGAGGACAGCAACGTCTTTCTCTGCATGTTCGCTATAAAGGCGACCTTGACAACTAGCTCAGCTCCATAAGCCCATGTTGTAAATGGCTAAATTTAGATATCTGAATGCCAAGCATACAGATAGTGATGGAATTCCCTGTGGAGCACATAGCTGGCTCCAGAGCTCTACAAACATTCTTCAGGCTCTGCAAGATGCTCCTCATGGGCCTGTGTCCCCTGGCAAAAATCTCTTGCTCACGTACATTTCAGAGCTCAGGCCTTCCAGGAACACGGGATGGTTGTTTGAAAAACAAGCCTGGGCACACACTCCAGGTGTGGAGCTAGGACTCGAGTCCCTGGCAGAAATGTCTCCTGATCAAGTAATTCACAGGAAGGTGAAATATGCCTGGACGGCAGCTGTCTTTGCAAATGACTCAAACTCTCAAGCTCAATTCCAGAGTTTTTCTAGGCTCAGCTAGCTCTCTCTGGGCTGTTGACTTCTCAATTTACATCCACTGGTACATATTTCACCCTAATCTACCAAAACACAACAAAACCCAAAAGTACAACATTTTTCATTTCCAACATTTCCTGGCAGAGGGGTAGCATCTCGAAAACTTTTGTTAGCGACACTCACAGCTGATCTGAGGAGGTAAGTGCTTGTTGCCTTTGTAGAATTCAACACCAGATAAGGACACAGCATGCTCCTTGTTTCCCAAAATGTAAGGTAAAAAATAATCTATCACACATAACAAGGAACAGGAGGGAAGGATGCTCCATGATAAATTTAACTCCCAAGTCTTCAGAACCACTAGCTTGAAGCAGCTGGGAAATCAAGCAGTGGATAACAGCTCTAAAGACTCTGTCCCTGCTGTCATGGTGTGACTGAGCACAGTGAGTGTTGGTTAGGGACAGAACAGTTGTTAGAAAATCAGCTTTAGAACATCACCTGGCACTCACATGAGCTTTTTGTTTGATCAGTAGTATGTCCAGGATGCTAACTGAGCATGTTTTAAATTGAAAGCAAACATGGAAGCTTTACAGCACATCTCTTAGGGTAACAACAATGGTTGAAATATTTCTATGCCCTCTTCAGCTGGGTTCCTGGCCAACTCACCCTAAAAGCATCCTTCAGACCTATTTTCTTCTACATGCAATAGAGTATTTTTATATTCTGTTTTATAGGCACTATGGCAAGAGTGAGTGCTCCTTCAACTTCTACTAAGCCGGGCCATGCTGTGACATTCACAGCAAGTGTTTGTGCCTTCAGAACAATTTACAAGATCAGACAAAAAAAGCCCATTTTGTGTGCTACAGTGAAGTTAAATGTGCATGTATTAACAAGATGCACTACTCCGTGGACTCACTCATGTCCAGACATCACACACTTTGATTGGCCAAATTCAACAGGGATTCAGGACAAAACCTAATACACCGGTCCCATCTATGAATCTCATCCTTGTGAAATGCCAACAGTTCATCAATGACTGGAATTCCAGTGTTCATATACCTGTGATATTGTCGTAACTCCTGAAATTCATTTCAATGTGATCCCACTCCAGCACCATGCAGTTCTCCATGCTGGGCTGTGCAATGGCTACGAACACATCATTCTTTGAGTTGAATGTATCCACTGAAACGGACTGGTAGGGCAAAATCTGATGAACAACAAAATCTAGAAATATACATTTACAACAGTTAGGTTACATCCTTGCTGGAGACACGGAGTAAGTGGTAGCTGATTATAATGATTTACACTGAAAAATGAGTGAAATACTCTGGATTTTGTATAACACTAGAATGGAAGTGTCAATGCTTATGTTAGGCATGCAGCAACAGGGGAAAGTGTCTCCTGCTTTAGGTATCATAAACTGTCCTAGGAAAATATAGTTGCCAAAGAGATCAAATAGGTAAATAGTGAAAGAAATCAGATTTCTTCTGATTGCTACTATCAATGCAATCAGAATATTGAGAGAAAAGTCTCCTTTCCTACAGCTGGAAGTGGCTTTCTCGCCAAGCGAAATGGCCTTGCCAGAATCACTTTGATGCTGAGAGATGAAAACTACCAGCTGAAGTCCAATAACTTCTTAAGTCGTGCAAATTTAATCACTAGCAATTTGTGATATGCTAAACCAGACAGAAAGTGAAATGATATCAGTTTGTCTAGGGATAACCCCATTTCATCTAGACCACAGACAAAGTGGTGTAATCAAAAACTCAGTTAACACAAAGTTTTATGGGGCATTGTAATGTAGTTTAGGCATAAAATACAACCAACCTGAGAATTACTATCCAGTGGAAAACTTATCCTAGACTGAGGAATTGGAGCAACTTGTAAAAATTAGGAGTGTAACTCTGAAACTGAAGGTTTTTTTTTCTCAAAACCTAAGTGCCTTTGTAGATTTAATTATAAAAGTCACCCTGGTGTAAGTCAGCAGTCAGCACAGAGCCAATCTGGGTCAAAGCAAGGAGACTTGGGTCTGAATTTGATCTTTGACCTGACAGCTGGGCAATGTCATTGTCATTAGGAAAAAACCCACGGTATAGCAGACCTGGCAAAGAAAAGCCAGCACTTGGGACTAGAATGGGGCGGGATGCCTGTGTTGAAGTAATGTATGCAAAGAGATACATAGAAAAAGAAAGGCATCTTCTGCTATGATGGCATTTCTCTGCAGAACCACACACTACTCTGTTTTAAGTTCTATTTGTTACATGCCGTCATCACACACTCCTGTGCTGGAAGGGCCTGAGCGTCCAGGGATTTTGGTGAAATGGTAATTAAGTCCTCACTCGAGTCCCTTATTTTGGTGCATTATGAAATAATTGCTTCTGAATGAAGAACCCTCTGTTTCTGCATGCTTGAAAGCCTTGCCCTTGAGGAGTTACACTTCTGGAGAATAAAGATAGATGACTACCATTAAACAAACAGAGCAGATTCTACAGCTGCGAAAGAAATGACAGTCCTCATTCTTTGAGAGACTGTTATAAATAGAGCTTGGGCTTGGTTCATAAATGCTGTTAGGCAAACAGGAAAGTTATCTTCATTCCCTCTGAGAAACTAAAAGGACTGGAGAAAACTGACACCAAAGTATGTAGAAAGTAAAATTAACTGACCAATCATGAAAGATAGATAAAGGATGGAACAACAGCAGATAGAGTCACAGAAAATAAAAAAAATCTTTAAATCTTGAGAAAAAAAAAATAAAAAACTAATCCTGAAAAAGACATGTCTTGAAGTCTGAACAGTTGTGAAACACTTCGGAGAACTCTGTGAATTGAAACAAACCAATCTGTATGTAAAAATAGCTAGCAAAATCTGTTATAATCAGTAAAACCCACTATTTTTAGCACCTTCTGGAAATACCAGACTCTAATGTAGAACAGGGTTACACAGTAAAAAGATGCTGCCGCATCAGTCTTGCCAAAAATTTAGGCTTTGGGGGCTTGCTTTAGTTCTACATGCCTTGCTTTAATGCTAGACAGAGCTAGTACAGGAAACACAGGATTGAGGGGGCTCTTTCCCAACATTTTTCTCTTTTAAGTTGGATCCCCTGCATGGGAGAGGGAAGAGGATGCAACCCCCACTTTCCCCATTGCTGCAGTCCCTCTCTCCCACTCCATACATAGTTTTGCTCTCCCTGTCTCAAGACGTGGTTTTCATGCTGGTTTTTGCTGGCTGAGGCTGGGGTGGTCCCCTTGTCCTCCAGTCACTCACTCTGCCTCTGCTCCCTCTGCAGTTGAACTGCCATGAGGAGTTCATGGATGAGGGACCCAATACTTTTATTGGGCTGATTTCTCTTCCGGCAGACCCTGTTCTGGCTGATCCCAGCACACAGGAGCATGGATGCTGGCAGAGGAAAGAATGCAGGTAGGACGCTGGAGGACACTAAGGAAAAGTGGCAGTGATGATATGTTTGGGCAGCAGCTTCTAAACTGCATCCTGTGAACTGGTCACACTCTCCTCACACCCCTTCTTCCCTGCAGTGGAAACTTCTACTCCAGGTGAGGCTACCCACGACCTGGGTGTGCACCAGGGAGCATTAACTATCCCTTCCATTCTCCCATCACAGGAGATTTCCAGCACAGGAGCACTTATGGAGCAGGTACCTATTAATTTGCAACCTACCTCCCTTCTAGCCAGTGGGGAAAGACAGGACCACCTCCAGAAGGCAGTCCCAGCTAGTTAAAGAAAGGAGAAAACAAGCTTTCCCAGCTCAGTGAGATGATCCCTGCCTACAGGTCTGGGCAAAGTAGTGCTTACAGCCACAGCACAGCCCCCTAACACACTGTTGTGGGAGGAACACAAGAAACCAAGTGAAACGGCTTAACCTGTTTCCATGATGCAAGCACTGAGAAATGGAAAAGATAGATGTTATCACAAAAAGAGTTAGAAGTGCAGATCACCAACACTGAATCACTTTCTTTGTGAAGAAGCAACAGGACCATTTTGTTCTTTGTCTTTCTTTCTGTTTAAATTTGGCAGCACCTCTTTTCATCTCTCCTCCTGTTACCATTGTAGCAGTTCAGCTGATGCAATGAACTGACTGAGCCGACAAGATGCACCATTTATCAAGCAAACTGCTTTGTTACCACATCCTACATCCAGTCTTACTTGACACAGAGTACTGGAGACCAGAAACGATGGAAAGTCTGATCCCGCCTGGCAAAGGAGGGAAACACTATACTAAAATCTAGCACGAATGAAAGACGTTTGTAGAGCCCTTCCTGTCACTGACTGGGAAAGGAAAATACACCTACAGCGTATGTTGCTTTACTTCAGAATATGGTATAAGCCTGAGCCTCTGACTAATCAATCCTCAAGCACTGAATATGGGCTCCCTTTGGAGCTGGGGGAGGCAATGGCAGAGAAGGAAAAAGCAGCAGTGGCTTGATATTGCAGACCATGAGGGTCATACACAACAGTGTGTGACAGCTCTGTGCTGTGCTGTGGAAGCACTTCTCCAATGGCATTTGAGCAAATATTCAGCTGGGCAACTCTAGCCCCATAGAACACTTTCAGTCCCCAAAAACTCTATAGCACATGAAATTAGATTTGTGCTTGGTGTAATTGCCCTTGGAGCACACGAAGTGACAAATGTTAAGGGTGAATTTTGCCTGTAACAACTTCATAGTTTCTAGGTATGAAAAGGTGAAAGAGGGCAGGTAGGTCAGTATAGGTCTGAGGATCAGTATGGCTTGCTCTTGCACATTGTTAGTGCTTTTAAACCAGACTGCAACGAAATAAAGCCTGCTTTTACTTTGTACTGTTGCCTCTCAGTGATTTGGCAGACATGGGAATGTAACTGTGGCACCATTCTAAGCTTCATTGCTCTCCTGTGCTTGACATCCTTATATGCAGCAGATTATTGCACTTTACCTCTGCTGCTCTTCTGTCATAATTTTGAATTCTGAGTTCATTCTCTTTTCCTTCACATATTGCCACGGAATTACCTTTCATACCTTTTCCTGAAACTTTGTTTCACATTACTAGTAATCAACTTTTCTGTTATCTTTTAATAATGATGACTGACTTGATGACAGATGAGAACTCGAACATCTCTGATATTACTGTGTAGAAAAAAAGGCAGAGGGCTGACATTTTATACATAAAAGGTGAAAAACAATACTCGCAGCTGATATTTTCACTTATATGATGTGACTACATTTAAAGATAGGTAACTGCAGCTATTTGGTCATAAAATATAAGCATAATCACATGCAACTTTCTCTTCACTTCCTTCAGCATGCTTTACATTACCTAAAAAAAATGAAGATCCTAAACAGACAGTAGTCAGAGTATTATTGGACATTTCTCTCCAACTTAATGGAGTTCCATGAAGAACTGCTGGCACTATTGGCACCACATTTGATGCTAATAAGTCGTGGCTTATTAAATAAATATAACAGATATAGCCACATTTTTGAACTTATTTTTATTGCTTTCTGTGAAATACTGAGATTTTGTGAAGCTCATCTGCCATAACTATATGGCTTTATTCCAGATAATAGAAAGCATTCTGTGATGAAAATTAAGCCACAAAGTGAGTCATAATCAAGTCTTTTGGAATACAAATTGTCAGAGCTCTTTTCCCATTATCACTTAATCCAAATAAAAACTCAGTACTTACTTCGGCTTTGAAATGTAATTTTCCCATTTTATACTTGTTCTAGTCCTTGGATGTACTTTGTATGTAACCCTTTCCTCCCCCCAGGTCATGCTCACAGAACGAAAGGGTATAGTCTAAATGTCTGATATTTAACCATTTGTAGTGTGCTTAGAAATATACATTCTGAATACCTGTAGTGATGCATTCATAATCAAAACTTGTCACATCATTTAACTTCTTATCCTGATATTCTGCTGGACCAATACACAGGACATCAGAAACAGTGGAATTTGTCATCTTTAACCACAAAAACAACCACTTGGCTTTGCAGTCACACTCAAATTTATTTCCCCTTAAATCTCTAAAAAACACACAGAAATAAACATATTTGAAAAGGTTGATAGCAATATGAGTACTACAGAACTGTTATCACCTTGACATGCTGAATTTCAAAATATCTGAGTATCCTTGAATTGTTCTGAACTGAGAACAGGGAAGTCTCTTAAGTTTTATTTGGACTCTTAATATGGGCTCTCCTTCACTGAGTTTTTTTGAAAAACTCTCACTTATAATCATAGTAATAGAACACTGTGATTCATGTGTAAAGTTAATTTTTGGTAAATTTCTATAGGATTAGGACTGTAATGTAAATAAATCCTGACAGTCAGGCTATCTGCTGCAAGCCTCCTTCACACCACCTACCACTGACATGGATAAATCCCATTCCTTCACTAAGCTGTTCCAGTACTGCTGGTTGACCGAGTGGCCTTGCTGGCACCATTTCTGAGTTACATTAAAATGCAGATGTAAGGCTTGTATTGTTTAAGTCGCTGTTGATGTAGAGTCAATTTAACCTCCCTCTACTAATGTATGTGCAATTCCACATTGTACTTGTTCTTTGATCCCTTGGCAAATTTCGTGGCTTACAATTATACTTTGCTGTTTGGGAAAGCCAGGCCAAAAACAGGGGAAGCCGACTAGTAGCTCAGTTATACAAGGAAACGCTGACAGTATATTAGCAATGTGCTACAACTGCACAAAACCAAGGAAAAGCAGCTTTTTTTTTTTAATTAATGCTTTTAACTAAAATAATCTCAGGGAATGCATGCAATATTAACAGGGAAAACTGTTCAGAGAAACTGTAGTTTTAAAATTCATTGTCTCCCTTTCCCTAAAAAACAATTTACATGAAATATCAGAAGGAAGTACAATGACACAAGCTATATACGGCATCGTGAGGAGCAACAGTGATATAAGAAAAAGGAGTTACTTTAGAGGAGTCTATCAAGTAAATAATTATGAAATGAAAAAAGGTAGAAAAAAAAAATACACTTTCTTTTCTTCTGTGTAGTTATGAGATACAGCACCACACCCCCAGAAACCTAGAACAGAGAACAGGAGAGTGACAAAAGCAGGCATTCAGTAGAAAGATTGTCATTACTTACAGTTCAATTAAAGAATCTAAATAACTGAAGACATCCTTTGGCAGGGCTTTGAGGTGGTTATTGGCCAAAGAACTGGAAAAGAAAGTTAGAGTTTAGTATCACTGCTAACTCTTTTCTGGTGGCTCTTACCAAGTCTGAGCTCACTTACAGGTTGTTAATTATCTGATACCGTCCTGCCACTGGCATTGTTAGTAGTTACCCAGAACAGGTGTTAGTTATTCCCATTCAAGTATGGGGATTGCTCGAAGATCACATAAAAGTAAAATATTTAAAGGTTTTTTATTGCCGCAATGCAAATGTAGCACACAGAGCAATCAGTGAGATGCTGAAAAGCAGCAGCAATGTTAGTCACGGTGTGGCGGCCGTACCGGTGCAGCACTGGGGGTACCAGCTGCACCCCACCCCAATGTGCTGCGGTGCTGCCTGAGCAGGAACTGCTTTAAGGCCAGTTCTTAATTTATGAAAGGCACATTGTTGGCAGAAGGAGGAAGCTGACGCACAGGGGGAAGAGAAGGTTTCAGTGTAGTGGTCCCCCAGAGGAGTTTCGTTCAAGTAGGAATTACTCTATCAAGTCTTAAACAACTTACAGGTGAGTCAGGTCTCGAAGGCCACGAAATGCATTTCTTGAAATGGTTTCAATTTTGTTTCCTTCAATGAATCTAGGGGGGAAAAAAAGTATTTTAAAATACTTTAATTAACATTATTATTAGCATCACTTTAATTAACATTATTATTAGCATCACTAGTGCTTTAAGCTATGGTTGCCAAACTCAGCAGGTTCCTGGGCAGCTCCTTCAGACTGAAAGGTAGGAAGTCTCAGTGGAGCTGCTCACTTTCCCTTATCCTCTTTCCTTGGGCAGACTGCAAGGAACGATGTAAGTACCAGGTAGCACAAGGGACAACACATAACAAAAAACATCCAGCAGAAAAGGAACAAAGTGAACAAGGCAAAAAAAATTATTCTCTTGGGATGTGTTGTGTGAGGCAAGAGACCTGCACAGAAGGGGCTCCTGAGATGGGCTTTAGAAGCTAAAGTCCTACCTTCCCCTCACAAATCACCTGCCTTTTAAAACCATGGGGCAGCACAGAGGTGCTAGGGCTGCTCGGGGTGCAGACCAACATTGATTGGGAGCTCCCGTGGCTGCATGCACAGTGCCACCTCCACACCCACACAGCTGTGACTGGAGCTGCAGACATTCAATGTCTGCATAAACGGCACGACCACTGCCTTGGTTTTGTTCCGGCTGCCGCAGTTCAGCTCTCTCCTGCTGGGACATCACCTCTGCAGGGTGCCCAGCTGCACACCAGTCATGGCCCCGTGGGCTGGGGGAATAATGACAGGCACATATCGATTCCAGGAGCACGCTGCTCCTCCTGACTGCATGTCAGCATTTAAAGAAAGAGCTGATATTTGAGCATCTTGACCCCTAAGCACTTAAGGACGCATCCCTAAATACACCATCAGCCCAGCAAAGCGATTGCAGCCAGGTGGCCATCAAGATATTGCTTGGTACAGCTGTACCTGGATGAAGACAACTGCATGCTGACTTTATAAAAGGTTTGATGAGATAAAAATGCCTCCCTTCCTCCTATGCATCCTTGTTTGCCTTCCAGAGAAGTTACAAGAAAAATGCTGTGAGACAAGGTCTCCTCTCTCAAGAGTCAAGATGGGAATGCAGAAGATGGCAAGTGCTCTTGGCTCTGCAGTTTAGATGTAGCCAAGATCCTTCCCAAAGTGACTGGGACCCTGACTGGATGAGAAGGTGCTGTGTCTAGGTAGAAAGTGTCAGAAGAGGGTCAGCCATTACAAGGCTGTCTGGGGACATGAATTCAATCTGCAGAGCAGAGAGCCACACTGCTTCCTGACACCCTCACTGGCACCTGGCATCCCTGCACAGCGCCAGCTCACCAGTCCGTGCAAATACATAAGGCTTCACTGCAAACAGCACAGCAAGATGATGCAAATTTGGGCTCAGTAATTTGCCGTATTCATGAGTCACCAAAGTTGGTCTCCAAGAGGTGCTACCCTGGGAACACCACTCTGTTCACCAGCAAAGCTCCCGTCTTTATCAGACCTGTTTTACCCAGACTCTGTACACAGAGTCAATTAGTTTGAGTGCATTGAATGTCATTATCAGTGCCGCGAGTGCAACAGGACACAGCTGGTGCTCCCCAGCTGCTCTTCATCCAGAGACTTTGCTTTGTACACAAAGACACTTGTCATTCTTGTTTGTCAGTGAGGTTTCCTCGTTCTCCATAAAGTCTGATCCCTGGTAACTAAGACACATGAGTTATGGAAGCTGTCATAGTCTTCCTGGCTGCATGGCCAAAAAAACGAACCACAGAGAAAGGCTACTCACAGCCAGTTCCCAAAATGTGTAGGGTAGATTTGCTAGGAAGAGGAAGAGCTCTATGGACTTGGCTGGAAGGGCAACCACAGCCAGTACCCAAGACCACTCGTTCAGCTGCTAAAGTAATTTGAAACTATAAGGCTTTACCAATCTTCATCCTGCTCCCTGGCTTGCAGCTGGTGACTGGGGACAGCTGAGGAGAGTAGGATGTTTCTTTTGGACAGGGATCTGGCTGCAGTCACCAGTGCAACGGCCACGACTGCAGGGATAAGCTCATCAGCACTTGAAAAATAAGTAATTAATGATACAACATAAAAATGTTATTCTTCCTTTTCACAAACATACAGTAAATAATTCTTTTTCCTATAGACACCAGTAAAAGAGAATACTTAGATAACTTCCTATCTGAAAAATCCAGGTGTAGCTGAATCATGGATTTTAGCATACACCATTTGCCATTATCCTCTGTTTTTTGGTCTGCAAATTCCATTGGTGGCTGCTCCGCAGGTATCAGACTATTAACCCTGAATATTTCTAACTTTAATACCTATTTGTCTGCAAGACTTTAGCAAGAGTCAGCTTTATCAGCATCGGTCTGTCTTTAGAAAAGGACAAATGCTTTCCACAGCTACCTTTCAGAATGGAAAGGTGGGTGGAAAGAGGAATTTTTTTGAGGTTGTATTCATAGTTTCAAACACACCAGCTCATATCCAGTAACACAGAGAAATGCCAGTCCTTTGGAGTACAAAGGAAAGACAACCTTGTAGCAGGGCTAATACTTTTTTTTAAAAGAAAGTATTTAAAAGAACTAAAAATAAACAAAAAATAAGGATTAGGAAATGAAAGTAATGTAGGAAATGAAAGCAATGTAAAAAATGTAAGTGAACTATGTAAACCAAATTTAAATCATAATATAAACAATTACAATAATTTATGTTGTATGACATATTTATGTGTTTATGTATTTATAATTAATATACAAACATAAATGACACAGGCATTAAATGGGATATCAGAAAAAAGGAGAAGTTGGAGAAGAAAGCTGGGGGAAGAGAAAGAGGATGGTAATCAAGGTTGCTCTGGGCAGTACACAGATACTCTGCAATTCCTCTTCAGGCTGCCTGCAGGTCAGGACAGGCTTTCCCACCTCGTCTGAGGTTCAAATCCCCTTGGTAGTGATGACACTGTTCTGGAAAGCCAAGACAAGCTCTTGCTAACAATGCCTTTTTGATGTGCTGTAATTGCACAGAGACACCTTGCATTCATGGCATCTTTTAACAATGCACTGTAACCTTTGAAAGATTGTGAGCCACCGTAAAGAACATTCGCACAGGAGTGAAACATAAATCCTTCATCTCCCCTGCTCTTGGGAATCACCGTAAAGACCAAGACTCTACAGCAGGAGCCTTGGCAACTTATCAAAATATCTTTATTTATAGGGGACATAAAGTACCAAACTTACAGGTATTCTAGATGGAAGAGACCAGCAAAGGCATCATCTCGTATAATAGTGAAGGAATTGGAGTTCAGCAAGCTGAAAATGGAGAGCAGGCATTAGGAAAGCACATTAAAACCTGACACATTGGATTATGCCTATTGTGTTTATTGCCCATGACCAAACTAATCTTACTGACTTGAGCCCATATTGCCCCACCAATGCAGCACACATAAAATATTGTGGAATGGTCTATTAAAAAAAACAAACCAAAGGCATTATGTGATGGCAGTTAATGTCCACTGCTCCCCAGGAAAATGCTTTTTGTGCCACTGACCTTGGCTAAATGCAACCTGGTCCTCAATTCTGTGGTCCCCTGAGCAGGACAAGCCATTATGAGATGGCAGGTCTGCTGAGTGTGGATGCCAGTTGTTTACCACCCCTCCTGCCCCAACGACAACTTTTAAGATCATCTCAGCACCAATCATAAGCTCAGAAGCACCAGCTCTCATCTATGCAGTCGCAGTGGGTCAGTGCTCACTTATTCTGTGCTCCCAGGGAGATGCTCCAAGCCTGACCTGCAGATGGGGTACAGCCCATGGTGTGGGAGGACAGCACCCAGTTTGTCAGCTGGAAACAGAGACATACCCAAATCACCAGAGGTGGAGAGTCCTTCCTGCTATCCTGATAAAGCAAAGCCCTGTGTTCGCAGGTGGTATGGAGGAGCAGTGGTGCTGCCTCCTCCAGGCACTGCCTTGCCCTTCTCCTGTGTGAACTTCAGGGGCAAAACATATTAGAGCTGCACCAGAGTGGCTGTCACCTGAGCCAGGACAAGGCAATCGGGGAGAAGGATGCTACAGGGGCCTTGTCAGCAAAGTTCCTTCCTTGCTGTATCAAAGTACAACAGTGGACTATTTCCAGTGTTGGTGTTCAAAGGCACAGAGAGTGATTTCCTTTCAAGAAAATAGCAAAACTTCTTATTTGGTATAAAAAATGAACACTACTCAAAAGAAATAATTTTTGGAAAATCTAAGAATTTTTTGCTATGAATGAACATGTCTGCACTAATCGCTTTATTAGAGCAACTTATTAATCCTCTTTCTGTATGGTTTTAGGCATTTCACTAAAATTAATTTAGAAGACTAATGAACATGAAATGCAAACTTTCCCTGTGGTCCTTGGATAGTATGCTAATGCTAGACAAATGCTCCTTAAATTATCCCAAAGAAATCTGACAAAGATGCAGACTGCCATCAAAAATAAATCCTTGCGTTACTATTTTACCATGACTACTGCCACAGAAGACATTGTCCTGAGGTGCCCAAGTGCTCAATTATGCATGCAGCTCTTTTGCCATTTAATCATTATTTTTTCTCATGTTTAAGGGAATAGTCACAAATTACACTAACTGACAGAATTTGTCAGGGCCCAAGGCAGTCACAATGGTGACAAAACCCTCTCACTGCCACATCTGACTTACCGCATAAAGTGACATGACTTCTGACTTCCTCAACAACTGACCTCTGTCCACCATTCCCCTCACCCCAACATCTTCTCCTGGAAATCTACTACAGCTAAGGAAAAGGGACAACTTTCTTCTGCTCTTCCTGCTTCTTCCTAATACCACCATACAAAAAAAGCCAGATTTCCCCCATCTCTAATTTTCCACCCACAGTTTCTCTTAACTCATCCTAGGATTCCTCCTTTTCTTTCCCAGCTGGCACAGCTGTTTGTTTGCCCCCATCCACCCATGGGCAAAGTCCTCCCGCCCTCTCCTCAGGGCTCTGTACTGATCCCCAAATCTCACAAAAACTTGGGTTTGGGACTGATGTCACAATAAAGGAGATGACAGTTTCCACCCCTTGCTTTGCCCACTTCTCCCCAGCATTTTGCAAGGGATGCTGCTGCCCCTAGTAGTGAGATAGGCCTTTGAGTCAAAGAGTTGGGGTGCCTGAGGAGAGGAGGCTGGCCATCATGCTACCAGATGCCTTTAGGCACCTCTTGCTAAGACCAGTTTTAACATCTAACTCTGTGGAAAGCACTCAGCCTAGGTTTCTGGCAGGCTTCAGATCTTTTTGCTGAATTTTTCCTCGCAGCGTGCCTTTGCCTGGGGGGTAAGCCAGTCTTTATGGGGTGGAGGGGGAGGCATAGAGAGTCTGCTTGGTATCCAGGCGTTCCTGGCAGCCTACACTGGGCTAGGCAGGGCACAGGCTGCAGCTCGGCTTCGCCGCAGACTACCAGAGAAACGAGTACCCAGGCTCCCCAGGGGGGTTGTACCGCAGTCTGTGTCTGTACCTTCCCTGCTACTGCCTCCCAGGACAGCTAAATTAAGCAAGCTTGGGTAAGCTCCTCGAGCTTCAGGCATGCACCTAACTACAACCTCAGCACTGCAAAGTGACTTGCCCGAGGACATGAAAGAGGGAAGGCTGCAGAGTGCTGGGAGCAGGACCACTGTCTCCTGGGACAGTGGACCACTGGGTCAGAAGGCATCCGAGGGGCCACCCTCAAAATTGGATACTGAAGCAGAGTCATGCTGCAGACAACACCAGCACTTCACACACAGAGGCTTCCCTCTAAAGTGTGTCTCGGCAGCCTCTGCTTGCCCCATCCTGCTTGCAACATCCCAAAGCCACTGTCAGACTCCCTGGCATAAAGTGAACAGGAGTTAGAGCCACCACATGACTCCAGAGAGGAAAACTCAGCCCTAAAGTAATTAAAGCTGAAGTTAAAAAAAGAGAAACTTAGGGCATCAGAAAACATTCCACCCTACTTCAGTAGCTAAATACACATTTTACAAAGTAGTTTATGAGCGGAAAATGCATCCCTGTTATGAAACGGCGGCTACATCGGGGGGCTGCGCAAGCTGGGGATTTAGCTGTTACCTCCTTTTTCACAAGGGAAAAGGACTCTATTTAGGAGAAACGGGGGGGCTCTATGCTTAAAGGGACTCTAGGAGAAACGGGCGAAGTGCTACTTGGCCGTGCTCCTTTCCAGTGCCATACTTACAGCAGCTGCAGGGAGGGCAGGTGGGAAAACATCCTGTCCTTGACTTCGGAGAAGGTCCCGTTGACCAGGCTCCTGGAAAAAGAGATGCTACCCATCAGGCGGGACTGCCCCGCACCCCTCCATCATCTCTCCTCCTCCTCCTCCTCCCGCGCCCCGCGTACCCCCGCACTCACAGGGAGCCCAGGCCGGCGGGCAGGCTGCGCGGCGCCCCCGCGGCCCCCACGCACAGCGCGGACTCCCGCCAGCAGCTGCAGGGCGGCCCGCAGCGCGGGGCCCTGCGCGGGGCGGCGGGCGGCGGCAGGACGAGCGCGGCGGTGCAGAGCGCGGACAGCAACCGCAGCGGCACCGCCATCCCGCACGGCCGCTGCCCGCCCGCCCGCGCCCTGACATCAGCGCGGCGCCGCCCCCGCTGCGGCGCCGGGACGCGGAGGGGGGGTCCCGGCGGGCGGGGCGAGGCGCGGCGGGGGACATCTTCGCCCTCCGCCTCCCGGCAAAGCGAGGGTGGCCCCCCGCTGGTGGCTCCCGAGAGATGCTACCCCAAAAAATAGGGGTGGAGAGCACCGAGGTGCTGGAGGGTGTCCAGAGGAGGGCAACGAAGCTGGGGAAGGGTTTTGAGCACAAGCCTGCTGGGGAGCGGCTGAGGGACCTGGGGGGGTGTTTAGCCTGGGGAAAAGGAGAGTCGGGAGGGACTTATCTCTCTCTATAACTACCTGAAAGGAGGTTGTAGTGAGATGGGTGTAGTCTCTTCTCCCATTTACCAAGGGACAGGACGAGAGGAAATGGCCTCAAGTTGCACCAGGGGAGGTTAAGATTGGATATTAGGAAAAATTTCTTCACTGAAAGGGTGGTCAGGCATTAGAATAGGTTGCCCAGGAAAGTGGTGGACTCCCTGTATGTGTTCAAAAAATCATGGAATCATAGAATCATGGAATGGCCTGGGTTGGAGGCGACCTTAAATATCATCTAGTTCCAAATCCCCTGATGGTGACAGCGATACCTTTCACTAGACCAGATGGCTCAGAGCTCCATCCAGCCTGGCCTTAAACACTTCTGGGGATGGGGCATCCGTAACTTCACTGTGCAGCCTAATGTTTTGGTGTGGTGCTTAAGGACATGATTTAGTGGTGGACCTGGCAGTGCTGGGTTAATGACTGGACTTGATGCTCTTAGAGGTCTTTTCCAACTTTAGTGATTCTGTGGTTCTAAAATCAACTCCAGGGATGTCTAGGTCATGAAAGATGCAAATGGATGATGGCACCACACAGTTACATTTGCTTTGTGGTAATATGTGTGTGTTAAGTACTGATTAATTGAATCTTTTTGTATCTGAATGCTCGAAAGGTTTCAGAACTGTGTGTAAAACCACATTTGGGGGGCCCTAATTTGAATTGGACACATCATTCGCATCAGTAAAAGAATTACTCTTGTAACTTTGTGGTACAAGTTACTTGTGTTTTAACATCAAAGAATTACTCTTTGTAACTCCAGTAACTTTATTCTCAAAGTCTCTCTCCTTGCCTTGCACAGCCCAGTTGCAAGATTCTCGTGACAATTTCCACAGTTGCAGCTTGTGCCTGCTGCCCCTCACCATTGCCCTCACAGCTCCAGCGAAGCCTCCCGTTAGGTGACTGAAAACATCAGAGGGACTCCCTCATGCTGAGCAGATCCAGGTCTTTTCATCTCCACTTACACAATCCCTCCAGCAGGCAAAAATTCAGAAAGCATGAGCAACACCCGAGTTAATGGGTTAATTAATTTATCACCTGATTAGGCAGAAACAAAGGAGAGAAATTGTTTGAGATCGGTGTTAGTCCCAGTTTTGTTTGCCTTGTTTTATCTTTCCAGTGATTTTAATGATTTGTGTAATACACCTCTTTGCAGGAGCTATTATGCACCACATCTGCATCTTAATTCTACAACCACAATAATCTAAGTATGTTTATTTCATTGGCAAGCAGACAGAAATTGTTGTGAACCGTGAATGCTGCTGGATTTTCCTGTCATTCTTGTCCATCTGGGTCACTGCTGCTTTATCCTGAAGTCACTGTAAGTGCCAGAAAAAAAAAAAATCACAAGAACACTACTAGAAATCAAAAAGTTTTTATACTGTCTCTCGCAGTATGATTCTGGACAAAACATCCAGCACACAGCTAGACAAGTACATAATACACTGAGTAAGCAACTGACTGACGGGTTGGGCTCAAAGGATATAAAGCTATTAGACTGTGTCCAGAGGAGGGCAATCAAGACGGTGAAAGATCTTGAGGGCAAGACTTATGAGGAATGGCTGCGGTCCATGGGTTTGTTCAGCTTGGAGAAGGCTGAAGAGTGACCTCATTGCAATCTACAACTTCCTCAAGGTGTCAGCAAAGGGGCAGATGCTGATCTTCTCTTTCTAGTGTCCAGTGATAAGACGCAAGAAAATGGAAAGAAGCTGCATCAAGGGAAGTTCAGGCTGACCATTAGGAAAAGGTTCTTCACTGAGAGGATGGTCAGTCACTGAAACAGTCTCCCCAGGGAAGTGGTAATGGCTCCAAGCCTGACAGAGTTCAAGGAGCATCTGAATGTGACTTAGTCATATGGTTTTGTGTTAGGTAGACCTGTGAGGAACAGGGAGTCAGACTTGATGATCCCTATGGGTTCCTTCCAACTTGAGTTATTCTATGATTCTATGAAATAGAAAAGACCCAACAATAATTTCCCAAAACTTCAATGAAGTCATGATATTCACATGAACCAAACGAGATTTCTCCATGAAGCGTGACTGCTGTGGCCATCCAGGGATGCCACTTTGGGAAGCCTTTTACGCATCCACCCTTTGCAAGTGACTCTCAACATGCTGTCAGAAACACAGTTCCAGGGTTCAGTGTTGCTACAAGGTTTTAAATGTCTCCAAATGCCACTTTGGCAGGTAAGGCATCTTCTCTAAAAGATACACAGCTATTTCACCTCAAAGAGTTTAGGACCCTGCTTCCACAACCCGGTTCTTCAATTTTCACTCATGCTAAAGTGTTTCATGCAGACATCCAAAAATCTCAGGGCGCTTCAAAAGGGAAAACTATTTATCTGCTAGCACTGCCCACAATTCATTTTGCAGACAAGGTGTTTTCTGATTTAACTGATTTAAATGCAATTTATTGGATGATCACCTCCACCTCCCCATGGAAGAGGAAGAAGGATTCTCTCCTGCTCTCCCCACCTGGAGTGTTCTGTGCAGCTTAGTCTGCAGCATCCGTGCTGCTCTCAGTGAGGGGCTGCCAGGCACGGACCACCCTCTCCAGAGGACTTGAAAGTGTCAAGGAGCCTTCCTCATGAGTCAGAGGAGGAATGAAAGGCAGATGCAGCAGGGTTGGGGTACTGCGCAGGAAGGAGCAGGTGCGAAGAGTGAGGGCTTCATCAGAGGCTGAGGAGAGAGCCTGGAGTGCCAGCAGGATGCAGCAGACGGTCCTGTCTTGCTGATATTAAAAATGAGTGATTGTTTTGGAAAATTCACATGACAGAAAACAGGTGTTTGGGGGGTTAGAAATATAAATATGCGTATAGATGAGCACATGTAAATTTTCTTAAAAGAACATTAAAAAAACTGCTTGTTTGAAAAAGTGACGCCTATTGTATCCATGCAGTAGCCTTTAATAAAAATGAAATCCTCTCTCTTTATTGAGAAGAAAAAAGGTGTTGATATAGAGCATCAAAGAATGAGAAATAACATTGAAATGTGCATTTCGTAGCTTTCCTTCAAATTCCAGCTCATAGGTTCAGGTGATTTTTTATGTAGACTTGCAGGTGCATCCATTCAAGTCATGCCACAAATAAATGCAGTCAGCAGCATATGAAGGATTGTGCTATCCAATACCCATAGATAAAATGGCATTTCAGATGGGTAACACAAGCAAAGAAGCGCTTAGACAGTGTGTCAATGGACATGATGCAAAAACCTGAACAGAAACAAGAGACGCCAAGACTGTGCCATGCCTTTCAACAGTCACCATAACTGAGTATGCAGAGGAACATGGGTGTCCCCGGGGACACAACTTGTACCCCAGTGCAGATGGGTGCAGTGGTGCACATGATCTTCCAAGTGGATCTTAAATGGAAAATATTCTGGTTCCCAGGTGAGTACAGCTGAGACGTCTCACCCCTGTGATCTATGATGTTATCACTGACATTTCTGCTAACACAACGACCCTATCTCTTTTCTGAAATCTTGGATATTTATCTTGAATTGCAAAGAGAAATGGAATCAGATGGACGTATAGGAGCACATAAATATTAAAATAAATATCCTGATGGGAAAGTTGTCTGCTCCGTTTCTTCAAGACCAGGAAGGTCTTTCTCATATGTTCTCATTTTTGCTTCTCAATCCCTGTTTCATAAACCCCTGCTTTGTTGAATAAATATTAATGTAAAGGTTTTGACTATATTTTTTCCTATAACTTGACGGAAATGGACAGTAGTAGATAGAAAGCTGCTGATCAGCTCACTCTATATCAAGTGAGAAGTATGGAAGGGAAGAATATTTCAACCTTCTGTCTGAGAAAATTTCATTTCTAGGTTAATTTGCAAATAAAAATGAGTTTTGTTGGATCACGCCCCACCACCTGCCCAAAGTAAGAGATTTGAAAAAAATTGTGGGTGAGAGGAAAGTGTGTCAGTGGAAGTGTTCCCACTATGAGGACTCTTAATTGCTTGTGACCCTGCTGGGGAAGAAGGTGTGGGAAAATTAATGCTCTGAGCAATATTCATCTTGCTGAGTGTTTTCCTTTCTTTCTTCACTCATGGTTGGTGTGACCTTTTTGGACTCCAACTGCTAGAGGAGATGTACTGCAACATGCAGAGCACGTTATTATTATCTTGAATGTACTCCAGCTTTTTTACCAAATGTTTAGTCTGCTTGGTCAGGATCAAATGTCCTTTGCTTTTGACTCCTGAAGATTTCTGGTCCAGATCACACACCTGGTATGTTACTGCAGTTTTCCCCTAAGGAAGTGCAGAAGCAATTTTCTTTGCTGAAATGTAGTACTACAACATAGGCTTTCATGAAAACTATTTAAAAAATATTCTCAGAAATCAAACAAAAATACAGTTTGCCAAATCCTACTTTGTGGGTGCTAGCATGTCCTCTGCAGTGACACCATGCCCCCCAGCCCTGGTCTCTTGCACCAGTGGTGTGCTGCATTCCATGTGTGGTGAAGGTGGTTATTCACATTACACCAGAAAAAGAGGACTTGCTCACACGTACTCTCCTTGCTTTCATGTTTTCCAAAGGTCCCTTTAACAGGGATTCCAAATCCCCAGATCTGGAGAGGAGTCACTGCAGAAAGAGGAACAGGTGGAACAGGTTGAGGTGCTCCA